GGCCTTTATTAGAGATACTTGCTATAAGGATTGTTTCCCTTCTTTCTTCTTTCCTTCTAATCTTGATTGCATTGGTTTTGCTTGTACAAAAGCTTTTTTATTTTAATACAATCAAAATTATCTATTTTATATTTTGTAATGCTCTCTATATCTTATTTGGTCATGAATTCTTCCCTTCCCCATAGGTCTAACAGGTAAACTATTCCTTGCTCTTTTAATTTGCTTATGGTGTCACCCTTTATGTCTAAATAATGTACCCATTAATAACTTATCTTGTTATGTGGTGTGAGATGTTGGTCTATGCCTAGTTTGTGACCTATTGTTTTCCAGTTTTCCCAGCAGTTTTTGTCAAATAGTGAGTTCTTATCCCAAAGGCTGGGATCTTTGAATTTTTCAAACACTAAGTTACTATGGTCATTGACTATAGTGTGTTGTGTACCTAATCTATTTCATTGATCCACCACTGTATTTCTTAGCCTATATCAGATAGTTTTGATTATTACTGCTTTATAATATAGTTTGAGATCTGGTATGACGAGGCCACTTTCTTTTGTATTTTTTTCATTAATTGCCTTGATATTTTTGACATTTCGTTCTTCCAGATGAATTTTATTTTTTTTCTAGCTCCATAAATACTTATTTTTGGATTTTGATTGGTATGGCACTGAAAGTAAATTAACTTAAATAGAATTCTCATTTTTGTTATATTGATTTGGCCTACCCAAGTGCAATTTATATTTTTCCAATTGTTTAGATATAACCTTATTTGTGTGAAAAGTGTTTTATAGTTGTGTTCAAATTGTTCCTGGGTTTGTCTTGGCAGGTTAGATTCCCAAGTATTTTATATTGTTTACAGTTATTTTAAATGGAATTTCTCTTCCTCTCTCTCTTGCTGCTCAGCTTTGTTGGTCATATAAAGAAATGCTAAAGATTTTATGTGAGTTTATCTTATATTCTACAACTTTGCTAACATTGTTAATTATTTCAAATAGTTTTTTTAGTTGGTTCTCTAAGTATATCATCATATCATCTGCATAGAGTGATAGTTTTGCTTCCTCATTACCCATTTTAATTCCTTCAATTTCTTTTTCTTCTCATTGTTATAATTACCATTTCTAGCACTATACTGCATAATAATGGTAATGATGGGTGCCCTTGTTTCACTGCCTTATTGGAAATCCTTCTAGCTTATCCCCCTTACAGATAATGCTTGCTGATGGTTTTAGATAGATACTGCTTATCATTTTTAAGGAATGTTCCCTTTAACCCTATACTCTCTGGTGATTTTATTAGGAATGGAAGCTGTATTTTATCAAAAGCCTTTTCAGAATCTACTGAGATAATTATATGACTTCTTCTGGTTTTGTTATTGATATGGTCAATTATGTTGATAATTTTCCCTAATATTAAACCAATCCTTCATTCCTAGTATAGCCCCCACCCAGTCATAGTGTATAATCCTTGTGATATATTGCTGTAATTGCTTTGCTATATTGTTCAAATTTTTTTCATCAATATTCTTTAGTGAAATGGGTCTATAATGTTCTTTCTCTATTTTATCTCTCTCTGCTTTAGGTATCAACATTATATTTGTGTCATAAAAAGAGTTTGGTACGACTCCTTCTTTGCCTATTTTCCAGATAGCTTATATAGTATTAGAAAGAATTGCTCTTTAAATGTTTGGTAGAATTCACTTGTGAACCTGTTTGGCCCTGGGGATTTCTTCATAGGGAGTTCATTAATGGCTTGTTCAATTTCTTTTTCTAAAATGGGGTTATTGGCATTCTATTTCCTGATCTTTTAATATAGGTAATTCATATTTTCATAAGTATTCATCAATTTGGCTCAGATTGTCAGACTTATTGGCATATGATTGACAAAATATTTCCTAATTATGGCTTTAATTTCTTCTTCACTGGTAGTGATTTCAGCCTTTTCATTTTTTATACTGAATATTTAATTTTCTTCCTTCTTTTTTTAATCAGATTAAACAATGTTTTATCTATCTTATTGGGTTTTTTTTTCATAAAACTAGCTCCTACTTTTATTTATTAGCTCAATGGTGGTTTTTTTTACTTATATTTTTATTAATCTGATTTTTTATTTTCAGAATTTACAGCTAGGTACTCAGTTGGAGATTTTTAATTTGTTCTTTTGCTAGTTTTTTTCTTTTTTAGTTGCATGCCCAATTCATTGGTTTGTTCTTTTTCTATTTTGTTGTTGTAAGAATTTAGAAGAGTAATTTTTCCCCTGAGCACTGCTTTGGTTGCATCCCATTAATTCTGGTATTTTGTCTCATTGTTGTCATTCTCTTTAATGAGATTATTAGTTGTTTCTATGTTTTTTTTTCTTTGACCCACTTATCTTTTAGGATTAGTTTATTTAGTTTCCAATTAATTTTTAATCCATCTTTTCCCTGTCCTTTACTGAATGTAGTTTTTATTGCATTATGATCCAAAAAGATAATATTGAATATTTCTGCCTCTTCATTTGATTTTGAGGTTTTTATATCCTAATACATGGTCAGTTTTTAAGTAGGTACTGTATACTGCTGAAAAAAAGATATATTTTTCTGTTCCCATTCAGTTTTCTCCAAAGGTCTCTCATATCCAACTTTTCTAATATTTTATTCACCTCTTTATTTTCTTGTTTATTTTCTGATTGGATTTATCAAGATCTGAGAGGGAACAATGGAGGTCTCTCACAATAGTTTTGCTTTCTATTTCTTCCTGTAACTCATTCAACTTCTCCTTTAAGAATTTGGGCACTATACTACTCAGTGGATATATGCTTAGTATTGATGTTGCTTCATTGTCCATGGTACCTTTTAGCAAGATATAGTTTTCTTCATCTCTTTTAATTAGGTCTATTTTTGCTTTTGCTTTGCCTGAGATCAGGATTGCTACCCCTGCTTCTTTTTTTTTTTTAACTTCAGCTGAAGCATGATAGATTCTGCTCTACCCCTTTACCTTTACTCTGTGTATGCATCTCTGACTCAGGTGTGTTTCTTGTAAACTACATATTGTAGGATTCTGGTTTTTGATCCACTCTGCTATCTGCTTCCATTTTGTGGGAGAGTTCATACCATTCACATTCACAGTTATGATTATTAACTGTGTATTTTCCTCCATCTATTCTTCTTTCTGTTTGTCCCCTCTGTCCTTTCACCTTTTCTCTTCTCAACAGTGTTTTGCTTCTGTCTACTGCCTCCCCCGGTCTAAATTCTTTTCTGTCAGTCTCTCCACTCCCTCTTACTTAATTTCTTCCCCTTCTACTTTTCTGTCAGGTAAAATATATTTCTATGTTCAAATGATTGTGTATATTATTCTTTCTTTGAGCCAGTACTGATGAGAGTAAGGTTCAAGTGATGTCCATTGCCCACCCTCTCATCCTTCCTTCCATTGTAATAGGTTTTTCACACCTCTTCATGTAAAATAATTTGCACCATTCTTCCTCTTCCTTCTGCACCCAGTGTACTCTGCTTTCTCATCTTTTAATTATTTTAAGTCATTCCCTCAAATTCACCTTATACATGTGCCCTCTGTCCGGATAGATAGATAGATAAATAGATAGATAGATAGATAGATAGATAGATAGATAGATAGATAGATACATTCCTTCAAGCTGTACTATTAGCGGTACAACTTATAAGAATTACATGTATCATCTTCCCATGTTGGCATGTAAACAGTTTAGCTCCATTGAATCCCTTATGTTTTCTTTTCCCTTTTTGCTTGTTTAGGCTTCTCTTGGGATTTGATATTGGAGGTCAAAATTCTGGCTTAATTCTACACTTCTGAAATCCTTCTATTTCACTGAATGACTATTTTTTCCCTTGAATTATTATGCTTAATTAAACTGGGTTGGTGATTCTTGGTTTTTTATCTTCCATGAGTTCTTTCTGGGCTTGAGACCACTTCCTATTTTTGTTTGAGACTTTGCCCATAGGTGTTTTTGCATTGTTGTCCTCTTCTGAGTTTGTGTCTTGATCCTCCCTGTCATTATAATAACTTTCAAAGGTCAGTTTCTTTTTTTGCTATTTCGTGCTCATCTCTTTTGCCCTTTTCCTTTCTTTTAAATTTGAGTTCTGCTCCTGGGGTGAAAGGGGCACTGTCTCAGGCATCTTCTGCCAGTTGCTGCAGGCCCTGGCTGTTTACCTGATGCTATACTGATATTTCCACGAGGCCTGCAGGGAACCCTTGTGTTTGGTGCTATGCTGAGGGGGCTGTGTGGGGGTAGCTGGCACTGCTGGAATCTGTAGGAGTCTGGCAGCTTACCTGGTACTGAGCTGGGGTTCTAGTGGTGGTGTCTGGAATGTGCTAGGGTCAGTAGGGCATTTCTGCATTTCCCTACAGATACTTTGAAGCATGTGTTGGTCTGGCCTCTGGAAGCCGCCTACGTGCCCAGGGCTGTGCTGCAGAGGTGGTTCTCAGAACTGGAATCTGTCACAAAAGTGGTCCTGGTGTTATATTTGCCTGCTTCATCTCACTGGGGCTCAGGAACTACCACTGGTGTGCTCAGGTTGGGCTTGCTGCTATTTTGCTGGGATACTTCCTGTCCTGGAGTGCACTCCCCTTTTACCTGAGTATGATGGACCTTTCCTGCCAATCTTCCAAGTTTCTTGGACTCAAAGATTGCTTCACCCCATTTTTGCCATTTCTACTGCCCCAGCATTTGTTTTGGGGCACCATTTTATGGTTGTTTGGAGGTGGATATGGGACAGTTACAAAGATTTACTGCTTACCCCACCATCTTGTCTCCTGGAAGCCTCCTACTTATTTTTTGGAAAGAAAAAATTCATAATGTAGAGGTATGAAACTTCTGCATGGTCTATGACTCTTGGACTCTTTCATTTCTTATTCCTGAACCATATTCTTCAACATTTTTTCACTACTATTAACCATTGCCAATTTTAAATTTAAGTTACAAAATATCAAAGGACATATCAATTTAATTAGGAAGATGTTCTAGAGTTCTTCATAAAATTTTTCTACTTCTCTGTCTCCATCAACATAGGATAATCTGTTGCCTGGTGGTCTTTTCACAAATATTTAGCATGAGTTCTGCAACACAAAAGTTTCATAACATTATGTTTTTGTTGCCTCTGGACACATGTTAAAAGCAAGTGTGGCAAATACTTCATTTGAGTTGCCAAAGATAACCTGAGGACCATTCTTAAATTTGCCTTCTGGTTTCATTTTTAGCAAGAATGTAATGACTTGTAGAATTCAAATCTTCCAGTAGTATGTCTACTGAGTAGTCATCCACTAAGAATCTCACATTTAGGATTCTAATATCTAAGTTAATATTTATAGATTATTTAGAAATTGCTTGACTCTTTGAATCCTTTCTGCTCCTCCTCCCCTGTTTTCTGCCACAGTCATTAAAAAAACAAAAGGAGCCTCAGGACTGAAGTCATGGATTAACATGGCCAGAGAATTCATTGCCATGGGATCACCCATCTGGCAATGAGCCTGTTCATAATTAATAAGGCCTTGTCCTTAGAAAACAGACACAGTCTGTTCAAGGGATCATACCTGAAGAATTTTCAGCATGTTTGAACCAGTCAGTTTATATTCCACAGGCATGGATTTCAAGAAGCCAGGATTAATTCTACAGTATAATGAGGTAGCAACATAAGTAAGACTTGGAGGAACTACTATATCATACTGCCTATGAATTATAGATAGCTAGATGGCAGAGTAGGTAAAATATTGAACACGGAGTTAGGAAGAGCTGGGGTCAAATCTTCTAAGATACTTCCTAGCTGTACAATCCAGGGTAAATCACTTACACAAAATTTTGGGAACAAGAGCACCTACCTTATAGCATTAGTTTAAATTAGGTAATATTTGAAAAGTGTCTTGTAAATCTTAAATCACTTTGAAAGTGCAAGTTACCATTTTTTCTATATGAGCTATGGCTCTTAATATTTCTTCCACTCCTACCCAACAGATGAATATATGAACCCCTTCAGAATATCAATTGATAACTACCCAGTGAACTAAGAGAATACTATTTTCACTTGATTGTGTATTTATGGTGCAACCAATGAAAACTGTCATCTGAAATGTTCCCAGTGATCATACATTATGTGACTGAGTTAAATGCTATGTAACTATGTTTAAAATTTGAGCTATTTTTACTGACATCCTTAACTATTTCCAATTAGCCTAGTCTTTCATGGGAACTCAGTAGAGTATAAGTGCATAGGGCCAAATTGAAAGTTGTAAGGGGGGAAAAGTTAAATTTAACTCTCATTGATATAATAATTCTTTTAAGTTTTGCAGGACATTTCACATTCATCATCTTGTTTGAAACTCATGATAACCATGTGTGGTATTTAGTGAAAGTATCATTACCCGTATTTGATATATAAAGAAACTAAAGCTCAGAGATGTCAAGAGATCTCTCCAAGATGGTAGGTATGAGTCAGAACTCACATGCAAGCCTTTTGGCCAAAATAAAAGGAGTTTGAAGGAATTATTTGGACTGTGCAGACTACAGGGAATTTCAACAGGCCTACAAACTATATCAAGTCTTGATATTTTGAATATCAATCTCCCGGTAGGCTAATAGTAGTTATAAGTCATGATGGTTGCTTCTTTTGATGTTCTGTCAATGCACAACCTACATTTTTTGGTTTGTTTTTATTTTTTAACATGTCTTTTGTTTAAGGAAATAAAAAGCTACCCTATACCTGATCTATACTGTACACTGGGTACCTCTGCATTCTCCATTTGGGGAGACTCTAGACATGAGCCAAACCCTAAGCTTTAAATAGTATTACCTGGGCCTCTAGGGTGATGTTGTCAAGTGCAAAAGAGTATAAGGGGGTGGGGGTGGGAAGCCTGACACTTCTTTTCAGTTTCCCTTAAGACTGAACCCAGGCCTTTATGTGCATGGGTCCAAAGCTTATTAGAGTGGGAGAGGTAACAGCATTCCAGTCCTCTGAGCATAGCAATGATTGTTGCTAAATCTAAAGCAGAACTCACTTTTTCCTTAAATGAATCCTTCCCCATACATACCTTCACTCATCCCTTTTTCCCTTAAGGACATCACCATCTTTCTAGTCAACTAGGTTTACAGACTGTCAGTTATACTTTATTAGCCATTGTTACTCTACCCCATATCCAATTTGTTAACAAATCTTGTCAATTCTTCCTACACAAAATCTCTCCATTATATCCCTTTCCACTCACATGACCACTGTACAAGGTCAGTCCCTTAACACCTTTTACTTGGTCTATGGCAGCAGTCTTCTAAGTTCTCTCTGCTTTGTCTCTCCTTTATCCTATTTGTCCTCCATTCAGTTTCCAAAATAAACTTTCTAAAGTACAGATCTGACCATTTTACTCCCCTGCTGAAGAACATTCAATGAATAGTAAATATTCAGGAAGAAGAAGACACTAAAAAATCTTCCAGCTATAAAGACTTAGGATTGTCCTTTTTGTCATTTCAAGAGAGTTAAAATGGAGTGGTGAATGGAGAGCTGGCCTTGAAGACTAAAAAAAAAAACTGGGTTCAAGTCCAACTTCTGACACATACTGGCCATATGACCAGAGGCAAGTCATTTAATTTCTCAGTGTCTAGGCAACTATCTAAGAATATCAGATTCAAAGAAGGTTCCAATATATATTGGTAGAAGTTTCGTAATCTGAGACTTCCTTATGTCAATCAAGCTTCAGGTTAAGTCTTTCTGTCCCTATCCTTCCTTTACTCATCACTTGATTCCCCCAGTTCCTTAGGCACAACTGATCCTCTTAGCTTCATCATGTCTTTACATTGGACAGCTCCTTCTCTTCAACTTACTGGACACAATGAAAGATTTTTCAGTGTGATGGGGAAAAAAAGCAACAGACAAAAAGAGAACAAGGGGTTTCACTTGCTGGCTGTGTGATTTCGTAGGTCCAAAGTTGCCTTTTTCCTGCTATAGAAAAATCTGATATTTAAATATCTGAGCTGCAAAAGAGATAAATAGGAAGCAATAATTCACATTACCAAAAAGATTAATGCCTCATTGAAGGTGAAAACTGAATCACAGAATAAAAATGAAATTTATCACATTTAGCATGAAAGAATTGGTTGCAAATGTAACTATTTCAATGAATCAACAAGTGTTTATTAAGTACCTACTATGTACTACTGTTTTCATAATCAATGATCTATGTTCAATAAATCATTGATGATTCAGAATAAAAGTTAAAGCAAACACCATGTTATAAAAATGAACATCGATGAGGAGAATGCATTTTATGCAATTATAGTAGTTCCAACATGACTAGTTAACTAAGCTGCTAACCTTAAAAAAAAAAAAGCAAAATGGACAAAAGTAAAGGGATTGAATCTATCACTATTTCTCATTTCCTCATGCAAAAGAATCACTGAAACAAGGTTCTTGTAGGAATCTAGATATTGTTCCCAAAAGGAAAGGGTAAAACAAAGAGAAAGAACTATAAATCAATATCACTAATGAATATCAATGCAAATTTTAAAAATAATATCTTAGCAAAAATGTCACTACAATATATCCCACCAAAAGGTTTTTCACTCTGATCAAGTTAAATTTGTTCTGGAGATGCAGAGATGGTTTTACATAAGGAAAATAATTAAAATAAAAAATCATTTGAAAATAAAAATGCACAATCACATGATTATATCAATAAATTCAGAAAAAGCCTTTGACAAAATATATCACTTGTACCTATAGCTATAAAACACAGGGGCAGCTAAGTGGCACAGACCTGGAGTCAGGAAAACTCATCTTCCTGAGTTCAGACACAAGCTGTGAGACCCTGGGTAAGTCATTTAACTATTTTGCCTCCGTTTTATAAAATTGTAAAATGAGCTGGAGAAGGAAATAAGAAACCAATTAAGTGTCTTTGCCAAGAAAACCCCAAATGGGGTCATGAAGTGGATATGATTGAAACAACTGGAGAACAATAAAGCATAGACATAGAAAGGCCATTTTAATATGTTGAAAGTTTATATTGGGGCAGCTAGGTGGCACAGTGGATAGAGCACTGGCCCTGAAGTCAGGAGGACCTGAGTTCAAATCTGGCCTCAGACCAAACACTTGACCCACACTAGCTGAGTGACCTTGGGCAAGTCACTTATCCCCTATTGCCTCACTAAAAAAAAAAAGGGAAAAAAAAGTTTATATCTAGGTGTGTTGTATGTGTGTGTATGTTTGTGGTGGGGGAGGGGGGAAGAATAAGGAGGAGGAGGGACTGATAGAAAGAGATAGAGACACAGGAAGACAGACAGAGAGAGAGAGAGAGACAGAGACAGAGAGAGAGAGACAGAGAGAGAGGGAGGAAAGGGTGTAGCTAACTGCTGCAGTGGATAGAGTGTTGGACTTGAAGTCAAGAAGACCTAAGTTTGAGTCCTTCAGATACTTCTTAGCTGTCTGATCCTAAGCAACTCACTTAACCTCTCTCAGCCTCAGTTTCTTCATCTGCAGAATGAGGCAATAATAATACCTAGCTCACAGACTTGTTGTGAATATCAAATGAGATAACACAAGCAAAATGCTTTGTGAACCTTAAAATGCTATACAAGTGCTAGTTATGAGATATATATATATATACTATTTCCTATATAACCTAAAGCTAGCTTCATATTCAGTAAGAAAATATTTGTTTCATTTATCTCATTTTAAAAATACTCACAATAGTAATAGGAGAAGAAAAAGTAATTAAAGGGATAAACATTGGAATACAGGAAATCAAACTATTCCTAAACATGATATTGTACTTAGAAAACCCTAGATTATCAGCCAAGAAACAAAGTGAGACAATATAACAAGATTCAAAATATTTTTTTAAAATTATCAACATTTCTATGAAGAAAGTTCAAGAGGAAACCGCAGAATAGAAAATCTCATTAAAATATTTAAAATATGCTGGAACCAATTTACTAACACATACTTAAGACATACAAATAAAATTACAAATTTTGAAATAATTATAACCTACAAATTACATATAAATTATAAAACATTCAATAAAGAAATAAGAATAACAAATATTTTGAATATATTCCTCATAGTTAGGCCCCATCAATATAATAAAAAGTGTGATGCTACTTAGATTATTTAACATATAGATTTGGCATTATACCAATCAGACTACCAAGAGTTATTGTACAGACCTAATGAAAATAATAATAACATTTATTTGAAAGAAAAAAAATGTCTAGAATATTATGCTAAATATCAAACCAAAAAGTAAGAATTAAGCCAGATAGAACTTAGAGATCTCAAACTATATTAGATAGCAAAAAACTACTTGGAACAGATTAAATAATAAAATCTGTTGAACAGACTATCTAAGGAAGAATCAGGGGGGAAATGAGCTCAATAACTCCATGTTTAATAAACCTGAAAACATAAATCACTTGAGGAAGAACTCTCTAAAGAATAAGAACTGCTAGGGTAACCCAAAAGCAATTAGGTAAAAAATAGAATTAAAACAACATTTTCTTTCCTGTACCATGATAAGGTCCAGATATGACCTGAATATAAAAGGTCACAACACAACATAATTAGAAGAGAACAAGATCAAGTACCTTCCTAACTATAGGTAGCTGGAAAATTCTAAACAAAACAATGGATAGTGGTGATCACAAAACATAGAATAGGTAATTTCCATTTATTACATTGAAAATATTTTGCTGCAACAAAAATCCATTCAACAGTATGAGAAAGGAAAATGTTTGCATCAAGCATCTCTGATAAGGGTATGATCTGCAAAACATATAGAGAAATTCACAAATATATAAGATCAGGAGCCTAAAGATATAAAGTTCTCAAAAAAATATTTCAAACTACTAACAAGAATGTGAAAGACAGATTCTTCCAAATCACTAAAGAGAAATGTAATTCAAAACAGCTCTGAAGTTTAATCTCATCAAATTGACAAAAATGACAAAGGGTAGAAATTGCCAGTGTTGGAGGGAACACTTTTAGTTATGCTATAAATTGTTCTAACCATTCCTGAAAGCAATTTGGAATTCTGCTTTAAAAAGTGTTTGGACTGTCCATACCTTTTGACTTAGAGATTCCACTATTGGGTATATGACACAATAAGTTAAAAACAAAAAGTGAGGTACTGTATGTGTCAAAACACTTAGAGCAGCACTTTTTAAAACAGAGTACTAGAAACCAAATAGATGTACATCAGTTGGGAAATAGCTAAACAAATCATAGTATGTGAACATAATGAAATATTAATGTGTCATTTGAAACAGTATTAAAAAATTCAGAAAATAGGAAGAATTAAATGATTAAAGGATAAAGGATTAAGGATAAATTAAAGTATAAATGAATTGATAGAAGAACCAGAAAAACAATATATTTAATGATTATAGGGATATAAATGGAAAGAACAAAAAGGCAAGCAACATAAAGAAAAACATTGTATAACTGTATCCGGTTAGTCCTGGAAAAGTTGAGAACATGGAGCTCATTTCTTAATTGCAGAGATGAATGGACTAAGGATGCAATCAAAAGAGCACTGGCTCTGGAAATCGAAGTTCCTGAGTCCAAATTCTGCCTCTGTTGATCACTACCTATGTGCCCTTGAGGAAATTACTTAAATTCCTTTGGCTTCATTTTCCTTCTCTGTAAAATGAGGAAATTAGACTAGATGGTTGATGAGGTCCCTTCTAACTCTAAAGCTCTGATCTAAGTATAAGGTTTGCAAATTACTTAGGTAAGTGACTAAAGGAAAGACAGCTGATGTTGGAGTCAGGAAGACTTAGGATCAAATCCCACCTTTGGCAAATATTAATTGTGTGACTATGGACAAGTCACTTGGCTGTGCAATGTCCCATGGCAATTTGTAAAGCCATAAGTGTACAGAGTAGCTACTGCTCTATATAGGTGGAAGGAGTTCTCCCAAACCACTGAAATCGCAGGTATTGTTATGCCAGTTTTACAGATGGGAAAACTGTAACTCAGAGAGGTATGATCTTGTCTATTGTCAGAGGGCTATTAAATGCCCAAGGTGATTGTTTCAAGTCCAGCATTATTTGAACTGTACTACCACACCTCACAATAAATATCTGTTGATTCAGTTTCTGAATTTGAGGTTTATTTTGTCCTCTAAAAAGAAAATATCAGTCAATGTTATCTTAAAATAACAATACGTAGAGAGAAATCCCTGTTACTAAATATTCTAATTTTTCCACAGGCCATTAAATTAGTACCATACCTTATACATAGATACTAAATAAATGTCTTTTGGAATGAGTGAATGAATGGATGAATGAGCAAATGAAACCCCAACTTAACAATTTTTGAAGTGTTCAAAAATATGTGCTTTTATACCTGTCAGACCCAGGAATCAAGATGTTTCTGGCCACATAGAAAACTTAAAGGATACAGCCAATGGGAAAGCTCAGAGTCCAAAAGGTGTCAGCTCCAATGGGAGCCCCAACACTATGCAATTATCTTCCATTGCTATTATATTCCTGTTTTTACTGCCATCATCTTTTCCTTGTCTTGCTCTAGCTTCACTATTACTCACTGTGTCATCTTTTTTGCTTCCAGTGTTTTTAATTTAGTACTTGGCCCAGCTACTTGTTTCTCAACTATTGGCTTGTATCCCAATCATACATAATCCCCATCCACAAATTTTTATTCTGTGGTGCTAGGTTGAAAAGGTATACTTATGTGCCACTATTTACAAAATGAGAAAATTTCTTTCACAACTCTTAACATTGTGGAAGAAGCTGCTTACAGTTCCAAAGAAGTATTAAAGAGTTCAATGAAGGAGACAAATTACTCTTGTGTGGTGAGGTGTGATTCTTATGGAGACCATCCCTTGTGTGGAAGACAATAGATTATTGTTAGTAGAGAACTTGGCATGAGTCAGTGGGAGAGGATGAAATAATATACTAAGCTTAACAGTCAGAATGCGAGATTCAGGACAGGAAAGTTTTCACATGCATGATGTTTGAAAGGAATTTTGAAGGAAGCAAGGTTTCAAATCTACAAATTGGAGATAAGGAAAGCATATATTCCACCTGAAGGGATAGCCAGTTTAAAGGCATGGGGATGTGAGATGGAGTATTATATGAGAAAAAAAACTTCCTGGACCACAAAGCATAAAAAGGGAAGTAAGGTGTAATGAGATAGAAAGCATAATGATGTGAATTTTGGGGCATCCTTGTCCCAATGAACCCTGATAATTTGGGTCTCCAAAGCTAAGTTGCCTACATCTCCCCCTCAGGGTTGTAGGGGTAATTATCTAATACCATTGGTTATACACTATCAGTGTGCTTCTACCACAAATTTATTTGTTAAAAATCATTTATTCAGCCAGGCTTAAGTAGATTTTAGAAAAAGAGAACAGGTGGATGTAGAGTCAGAAAACTTGTGTTCAAATCCCACCTCAGATAGTACCTGGGCAAGTTGGGTCACATCTCTTGGCTTCAGTTTCCTCATGTTGCCCACGAGGAGGTTGCATTAGGTCACCTCCAAGGTCCAGCCCAGCTTGGGATACATGACTACATGACCTGTGATGTTAGGAAGAAGTTAATATTCATTATGAATCTACAGATGTGCAGTTTTCTACATTGCTAGGTTTCCATGTTAAGCAAATTCTCCAATCTGCTAAATTTAAGGATGTGGTACAAACATTCAAGTTTGACATTTAATAATTATGGATCCTTGTCCTTGCTAGGAACTTTTATATATTTGATAAATTGCTTTATACCTTTCATCATTCTTTTGATTATAATATGATGTATACAACTTCAAAATTGGGGCAAAAATATATGATTTTCATTTCCATAAATGTTAACCAGATAAAGTTCTGGTATTTACTATAAGTAGACAAATTCAAACTTTGACCAAGTCATTAAACTTCTCTGGTCCTTAGAATCTTTGTAAAATGAGGGAGTTTGGGTAAGCTCTTTGTGAATAGAAATTATTTCTTTTTTTATTTTTTTTTTTAACATGTGTTTTTAAAACTTTTGAGTTACAAATTTTCTCCTTTTCTCCCTCCCTACCCATCCTCATTGAAAAGGCAAGCATCTAGATACAGGTTAGAGATGCGGTCATGCAAAACACTTCCATAGTAGTCATGTTGTGAAAAACTAAGTGCATTTCGCTTCATCCTATCCTACCCCTCATTTATTCTATTCTCTCTTTTGACCCTGACCCTCCTCAAAAATGTTTGCTTCTGATTATCCCCTCCCCCAATCTGCCCTCCCCTCTATCAACCCTCTGCTCTCTTGTCCCCTTCCCCCCTTATTTTCATGTAGAGTAAGATATATTTCCATACTCCACTGTGTATATTACTCCTTCCTTAAGCCAAATCCTATGAGAATAAGATTCACCCATTCCTCTCACCTTCCCCCATTTCCCCTCCATTGTAAAAAGGCTTTTCTTGTCTGTTTCATGTGAGATAATTTGCCCCATTCTACCTCTCCCTTTCTCCTTCTCCCAGTATAATCCTCTCTCACCCCTTAATTTTATTCTCCAAATATCACCCCTTCATCTTCAACTCACCCTGTGCCCTCCATCAATTTATCTATCTATCTATCTATCTATCTATCTATCTATCTATCTATCTATATAATACGTACATATAATGTTTTCCCTCCCACTACCCTAATACTGACAAAGGACTCATGAGTTACAAATATCATCTTTCCATGCAGGAATGTAAACAGTTCAACCTTAATAAGTCTCTTATGATTTCTCTTTCCCATTTACTTCTTCCATGTTTCACTTGAGTCTTGTATTTGAAAGTCAAATTTTCTATTCAGCTCTGGTCTTTTCCTCAAGAATGCTTGGAAGTCCCCTATTTCACTGAATGACCATTTTTTCCCCTGAAGGATTATACTCACTTTTGCTGAGTAGGTGATTCTTGGTTGTAATCCTATCTCCTTCGCCCCCTGGAATATCATACCCCATGCCCTCCAGTCCCTTAATGTAGAAGCTGCTAAATCTTGTGTTATCCTGATTGTGTTTCCACAACACTTGAATTGTTTCTTTCTGGCTGCCTGCAATATTTTCTCCTTGGCCTGGGAATTCTGGAATTTGGCTACAATATTCCTAGGAGTTTTCCTTTGGGGATCTCTTTCAGGAGGTGATCAGTGGATTCTTTCAATTTCTATTTTGCCCTATGCCTCTAAAATATCAGGGCAGTTTTCCTTGACAATTTCTTGAAAGATGATGTCTAAGCTCTTTTTTTTTTTGATCATGGCTTTCAGATAGTCCAATAATTTTTAAATTCTCTCTCCTGGATCTATTTTCCAGGTCAGTTGTTTTTCCACGAGATATTTCACATTCTCTTCTACCTTTTCATTCTTTTGGATTAGTTTTACAGTGCCTTGATTTCTCATAAAGTCACTGGCTTCCAATTGCTCCATTCTAATTTTTAAGGAAGTATTTTCTTCAGTAATCTTTTGGACTTCCTTTTCCATTTGGCCAATTTTGCTTTTTAAGGCATTCTTCTCCTCATTGGCTTTTTGGACCTTTTTTGCCATTTGGATTAGGCTATTTTTTAACGTGTTATTTTCTTCAGTAAGGTAGGGGTCTGTTTCCAATGTGAAGAATGTGCTGTCCCAAGCTTTAGGGGTTTTGTGTACTGTTTTCAAAGATACTTCTAGGGACCTATAAATTTTCAGTTCTTCCAAGGTGGTATGATCAAGGGTGAGGTGTTTACTCCTTTCCTGGCCTGTGCTCTGGTCTGTGAGTGGCCATAAGCACTCTTTTCTGTCTTGGAACTGTGAGGAGGATTTACTCTTCATAGCCAGCACTCCTCCTGGCCCTAGGACCACCACTCTGAACTGTGACCCAGATCCAAGCACAGGTGAAGCAGGAGAAACCTGCACCAGCAGAGAGATCCCTGCAATCCCCCTCTGATCACCCACTCGATTCCTCCTCAGTCTTTGGGCCAGAAGTTGAGGAGGCAGCCACCACCCCAGGTCTGAGCTTGGGGAACAGGGCAAGGACCCCACACTTCTCTCTCACCACAAACACAGACATTTCCCACTGACCTACTAAGTTGTCTTTGGCGTTCATAAGTTGAGAAGTCTGAAAACCACCGCAGCTGCCTGCAATTCAGTCCTCAGAGGCCTGCTCCAGGTTCACTGTGGCCTGCATGTCCACGCCAAACTGTGCTCATCTCCCAGCCCTGCGTGATATACCTTCCCGATCAACAATCCAGATTGTCTTGGGGTGGAACTTTGTTTCACTTTGTCTTTTTATGGGTTCTGCTGCTTGAGAATTTGTTTGGAGCCATTTTTTATAGGTATTTGGAGGAGTTTGGGGGAGAGCTCAAGCAAGTCACTGCTTTTACTCCACCATCTTGGCTCTGCCTAGAAATTATTTCAATCTCTGCATTTATATCCTTAATACCTAGGCCAGTGCCTGGCACATGGCAGACATTTAATAAATACATGTTATTGGACTGAAGATGCCGATAGTATAAGAACTATATCAATTTTTATTTTTGTGTCCTCAGAACAAACACAATGCAGTGGGCATAGTTGGTCCTTGCTAGATTTTTTTTATCAAGGTAAAAGTAGATTGTTGACTCAGATTGAAGAAGGATAGTTTTGCTTACTTTATTACATGCATTATTACTATTATTTTCTGTGGAAATGACTGAAATGTATCAGGATACATTATACAGATAAAAGTCCAATACTTCACATTATTTGGATATTCTTTAGCTATTCTGGACCAGCAAGCTAAGTTTAATAGCATTCTTAATTGTTTCCTGTCCATCCAAGGATGGTTTTAACTTTTTCTGATATTCTGTATTCAAGATTCAGAATCTGAATTACCAAATTTCTTTGAACTCTCAGAGACCTTTTCTGTTTGAAAAGCAGCTGCAAACCATATTGAGTTGGTTACTGAGTAGCTTATGCCACATCAGAAGCATCTCTCCACTCTCCAGAGACTGGATGCCAGAGTTGTTTACTTACACTCAAAACTGTCAGTGGATAAATAATGCAACATTCTCTGCTTTCACACTGTGTAATTTGTAGCTCAAATGCAAAATGATTTATATTGTTTCATTTGTAATGGGGCATAACATTTCATCCTGCTTGTTGAATCATATGTCTTCACATAAACTTTGTTAAAAAAATTTTTTTAAAAGATTGAGTGTTGTAAGTACCACCTAAACACAGAATATTTATTATCTCACACATCTTAACAAGTGATTCTCCCATGTGTTAGTCACCCTGATGGTGATGATCTACTTGAACTTGGCTAGGATAAAACTGAATGTTGCCGGTTGTGAGTTACCCAGCTGTCCAAATAGGAGTAGCAACTGAGGCATTTGAATGGACAAGTTACATGACCAGCTGGACTTGGTGCATCTGATTTCCTCAACCTAATCATGCCAAATTATGAGACACAGACTGTTTATTTTTATTTCTTTTTTTTAAATTAACAAAAATCTATTTTCTTAACCTCTTACCTCCCCCTCCCATTCAAAAAGAAATGAAAGAGAAAGCTACCTTTATAAGTCTTACTCCTTTCTTATCCTTGTAAGAAATACTCATACTCAAGCAAAAAAAAAAATCCTCACATTGGCTAGTCCAAAATAAATGCATGTCTCATTTTGTATATAAAGTGCTATACCTCTCCAGGAGATGTGGAGTATGCTTTAGGGTCAGTCCTCTAGAATCATGGGTGGTCAATGAAATCTATCAGAATTCTGAAGTCTTTCAGTGGTTTTATTTAAAATATATTTATTGTATATATTGTACTCTTGGTCCTGCTCACTTCATCCAGCATCAGTAAATACAAATCTTCCCAGGTTTCTCTGAAACAATACCTTTCATCTTATCTTGTGGAATATAATACCATTACATTACAGTCATATGTTGTAATTTACTTAGTCATTCCTCAATTCATTGTTCCCCCACCCCACCTTTGCCACAAAAGGAGCTTCTGTATGTACTGTATGAAAAATGCACAATATGTAATAGAGGAGGAAAGACTCTTTGCGTGGAAAAAGGCTTATTGTCACTGATTCACAAGATGTGAACAAAAAGGGTGTATCATCAGGCTTCTTGCATATCATTCATAGTACCTAGAACAGTGCTATACCTACAATAGACATTCAATACATTTTCATTTATTTATGTGGGTGTATAATTTCATTAGTGTGGAAAGACCTTTCATAAATGCAAATAACCACTCTTCTGTAAATTATAGTTTTAGAGTCCAGGGCACTGAGCCGGCAAGTGACTTGTCTGTGATTACATATATCAGAGGGCAGAACTTGAACCATGATCTTCCTGATTACAACACTAACTACCATAACATCCACCCCTTCTCCCTACAAAGTTATACTTAATATTACATCTATCCATGCTTTCTCTTGGTTACATTTTGGGAGAATGTCTCAATTCTGACTTAATGTTCCCATGCAGACAATCTGAAAAAACATTCCCTCTCCATGTAGTCTTTTTTATTTTTATAGCACAATTTTAAGTTTAATATACATTATTGACATTTCTTCATCATTTTCTCAAGTGTAGACAAT